TTGCTAAAACTATGCTCACTATTTCTAAATTATATATACATCTTATGGATCAAAGCTTTCTGACAAGAGCCACATCAGCATTCTTAATTAGTATTTTTTGCTTAATACTGTTTAATATCGCTGCTATTGATGTTTGTGAGTGAGCTTTACCCATTAGAGATTACATGCATTTTAAAAGCGGTATATGTATTTTTAGTACTTCATGAGTAAAAGCTTCGTGACGGACATTTTTATATACCTATACTTTTAAGCGAGGCCCTATGCTCCACTTAGGAGAGAAGGACAGCAGTAAGTAAGTATACCTTTAAACAAATATAACAACTATAACAATTTATATAGAAAAGTTTTCTCTTGCGAAACCTGTTAAAAATTTGACACTTTCAGATACTCAGGTATTTTTTTTTTTGCTTAATGATTTTGTACTGTTTTGGACTTTTATATGATTTAGTTATCGTTGATATAACTATACTAATTATGCAATAACAAATATGCATATAGTCTTTATATTAAGTTTTTTTTAAATAAAAATAATTTTTAAAGATACTATAATTCAAATATATAATACAAAAGAAAAGAAAAATAATTGAAAATCCATAATATGCCAGTTAACAAATTTTTCGAAAAATAATAATTTCATATTGCAAAACTAATACTACAAAATACTAATAATAAAATTACTTAATATGTATATATATATATATACATATATATATATAAGAGGTATGGATCTATTATTAATATTAATTTAAATGAAAATTATAAGCAGGACGTCTTAATGTATTTAACATTCTGTACCAACCTCTCGAGTTGATTCGACCTCTTTACTGTGCATATTAGTGCAAACGATATGCGAAGCTTTTTTTTTGCCCCTTACTGAGCTTAATTTTGCTTTTTTATAAATGTTTATGGTTTTTTGTTTATCACTTTTTGCGTTTTGAGCTTTTATCTCCAGTGCTTTTGAAAAGCTTTCCGCAGCTTTTTTATTTAGAAATATATCATCTTGATTGGCATCAGCGGAATTGGCATTTTTTGAGTCTGTCATTTTATTGTTGGCAAATGTTGTCAATGGAGTGATCACAGAAATTGGTGGCGGTCTTGGTGGTGGTGATGAAGGTGGTGCTGCTGAGGGCGATGGTTGCTTTTGAACAGTTGGCAAAATAGTTTTTCGACGTTTATTTGTATTGATATTGGATGTATGTTTATTATCATTGCTTTGTGGCAATGGACTTTCGTTTGGCATAAAGAGTTTACGTTTCTTAATTGCAACTGGTGGTGTAGCAGTAGCATTTCTATCTTCTTGCAGCACTTGTTCTGTACTGTATACTTCTGAAGGTATATCACAGCTATCACAATTTAATGTGGTAGTTTTAACTGTAACAGTAAGTGGTTCTTTTGGTGTACATTGTGAAAGCATTTCAGAATTCAAGAATTTGCGATGCATTTCTAATTCACTATGTATTGTCGGTGGTAGTAATGATCGCCTGGCAGATTTGTTAATATTTTGTACACGTTGTGAAACGATGTCCATGAGTGTTTTATTAACACTAAGGCGATTTCCTGGTTGGCGCGACGAGCTAAAAACATTGGCATGTTCATCAATCAATAAATTTCCGTTTGTATTATTGAATTTTTCTTGCACAGGCGTTTTTAGTTCATCGCTTATGGTTGAGTCCAAATGATCATTTGAAACTTCACTTTTCGTACTTAGAAATGATGTATGCGATTCATTTCTAGTTAGTGTTCCTACATTTTCAACTGTTGACATTGGTTCTGAAAAATCACTTTGTGAACTCTGAAAGATTAGTGTCGAACTTGCAAAAGGTGTTAACATCCTTTTCACTAATGTTTTCGATGTTTGCGGTGTAGAGTCACTTTGTGAGCTTTTCGAAGATTCCCTATTTTTGTCTTGAGTAGGTGTTGAGGTCATGAGATCAATATTAGTTGTATCTACTTGCTCACTTTCAATACTTGTAAGTCTCGGTGTATATAATGTACGCCGTTTTTTTATTTTTGGACTTGCCACCGAAATATCAAGGTCTTTTGCTGTGCATGATGTACGTCTTTTTACTTTCTTTTGACTTTTTGGCGTATTCTCTTCATGCATAGCAGAAATATCCATTTCTTTCGCAATAATTTTTGTTCGGTTATTACCACGACTTGTTGAAGATATACTTTGCTCTAAAGACATAAGACTAATATTTTGTAAAGCCATAATTGCACTTCGCCTAGGTGTTCTGCTTATATTAAGATTATTATATTGGGATGAAAATTGTTTTACATTATCCACCAAATTGGAATCTTCTTGTATATAAGTACGTTTCACTGCACTAGATATGTTTGTAGTTAATACATTTTCGTTTTCTTCCGCCGTTTCAAGATGCGAAATAGTATCTTTTATCGCTTCTTCATGTGTGACTGATTTCAAGACGTCTAATTCTTTGCGTCTAAGGAATCCCTCCTCACTTGAATAGCTAATTAACTCGGAGAATCTAAAATTTATTTTTTGGAATATCGTACTTGATTTTTACAAAATATCTATTTCTTACTTACTTATCTACAAGTTTAGAGTTTGGTAAATCTTGAGAC